TTATAATTCAGAACATTATATGTATATAAACTGTTTCTTTTGAATTGAAGCTCTTTATTTATACTGAAGATATATTCGAACCATGAATCTCTTTTTTTTTTTTTTTACTGTAATTCCGTAAACCATAACACATTGCTTATTATTATTATTAATTTCACAAATTATGTCATTCCGACTATTATTAGGTTTCGTTTCATTAATCTTTGTGAATTTTTAACCAAACTGGCCTCCTTAACTTTTTTATATGCATAATTGGCCTTTCTTTGAAATAATATACATCATTGGCCTCCATTCACTGCTAAACTTTAATTTAAATAAAAAAATTAAATAAATAATGAAATTTAATAACTATTGAGAAAAACCTAAGTCCCACATCGACTAGAGATTAGACAATTAAATAGTCTATAAGTGAAAAGCAACCCTCACTTTACAAGCTGGTTTTGTAGGGTTGAGTTAGACTTAAATTCACTATTCAAGAATTACTTTTATTTAATGATTTTGTAGGGTTGAGTTAGGCTTAAATCCACTGTTCTAAGAATAACTTTAATTTCTTATTTATTTTCTTATGGATTTCAATTTTAAATGAAATAAAATTAAAATTTTGTATATGTTAAAAAGAAGAGTGTAATTTAAATGTTGTGGAAGGTCAATTTTGTAATTTAACAAATGAAAATGCTAGTATAATATTTGAATGTCTTAACAAATGAGAGTGTAATCTATGTTAACAACATTAAGTTAAATAGATAAAATTATTTTTCCTCTTATTATAAGATACTATTTTTAAGAATTTATTGGTCTTTTTATGAAGTATTTAAATTTTTTTTAAAACGCATTAATTTTATTTTTCATATTTTACCCGTATTAAAAATTGTGTAGCGTGTCTTTTTTCACACACCTTTTAATCTCTTTAATTGTATTTACCATTTTTAGTAGTATTGATACATAAATATTTATGTGGAGTAATATCTTCACAATGAGAATGATAAACAAAAAACTAATAATTAGTAAATCATTATTTTATTTTAAAAATTTAATAAAATCAACGAATATAATTATACATAATTTTATATTAGTTTTTTAAATAAAATTAGCAAGAAGTATACTTTAATATTAAGTACAACAATGTATATATGATAAAAGGATAATGTAACTGATGTTTGATGTTTAATTTTTATAAATAGAAATACTAAGGGGGTGTATTGGATTAGGATTTTAAAGGACTCTTTTAGTTAAAAAAAATCTTACGGATTTTAAAAGACTTTCCAGAATTTTCATGACTTTTAAGATTTTACAGTCTACAAGACTTAAAATCAGGATTTTAATGGATTATGCAAGACTTTTAAATCAGGATTTTAATGGATTATGTGGGATTTTGTAGATTTTGTAGAATTTTCGTGGATTTTTGACATTTGATAAGATTTCAAAAAAAAATCATACATTCAAATTTAAAAAGAGTCAGAGACAAAAATAATAAAAAATAATAATGTCTAGATAAATAATAATAATAATAATTCTCCATGATATCTTATCTTCTTAAATAGCATTCACCCACATATCCATAGTTATACTAGTCCTTCAAGCATTAGCGTCTTTTCGTTCTTGCTCCTGAGTTTGAATAATAGGCTCAAAAGTATGATCTTCGTTAATTGGTAATCTTGAAGATGAAGGTTCATCTACCGCTTCAATTGAAAATTCATCAGAACGACATTCTTTGCGTAGAAAGTTACGTAGTGCACACATACTAACACAAGTTCTACTTGTGTCTTAAATAAAAATGGAGGTGCTGACTTAAAAATTGTGAACCTTGATTTAAAGATACCAAATATTCTCTCGATCACATTCCTTAAAGACACATGACGAAGATTGAATAATTCTTTCTCATTTTCAGGGTCATTACCCTGACTTGCAAAATCTTGTAGATGATATCTTACACCTCGAAATGGAGCTAAAAATTGACATCGATTAGGTAATCCACAATCCACCAAAAAAATATTTACCTAATTACATATGCAATATATATAATATTAGTATAATAATAATTATTATTATTATAATAATAATTATTATAATAATTATTATTATTTAAAGAATAAGCATTTAGATATATAGAATAT